AGATTATTATGACCAGCCAGATTATTATGACCACCCCACCAGTACTTCATTGAAACTTCCCAAAATACTGAATATTGAAAACTTCCTAAGCAAATACTCTCAAGGTTTTATTATTATTACTAGAGGCCTGGTGCACGAAGTTCATTCACTGGGGGAAGGAGGGGTTCCTCAGCCCAGCCTGAGCCCTCTTACAGTCTGGGACCCCTTGGGAGATGTCAGGGAGCAGGCCTAAGCCAGCAGTCAGACATCCTTAGCGCTGCTGGGGTGATGGGAGAGGCTCCTGCCACAGCCACTGTGCTCGCCAGCTGGGAGCCCAGTTCCCCTGTGGGAGCACATTGACCACCAGGGGGCAGCTCCTGCATTGAGCGTTTACCTCCGTGTGGTCAGTGTGCGTCATAGCAACCGGTCATTCCACCATTCAGTTGATTTGCATATTAGCCTTTTATTATATAGGATTATTTGCATAACTAATTCACTTCATTGTACTGATAGGGTGGTCATAATAATCTGGCTACTCAATGTAAATACATTTTATTTATATATATATATATATATATAAATAAATAAAAATAGATAGGCCTGACTGTTGTGTTGCTTTTCTCTATGGAGGGATGTAGGGGGGAGACGGTTGCAAAAAGGGTTTCTGCTGGTGTTTAGGGTGTGCGTTGAACTGTGATTTGGGAGTCCCCACAGCCTCTCCAAGACATGGTAAACCTGCTCAGGGGCCAGAGAGCTGCCCGGCAGCCTATCACTTGCTTTACAGCCCTGTGCTGTGCGTCACTTTGCTCACACTCCACTCAGAGACCTCGGGTGTCTTCATTACATCCTAGGCCACTCGGTCAGCATGTCTTTTAGTGGCTGTAGGTCTCCCAGCTGCGCCCTTTGCTGGAGTCCCTTCTGTGCAGCTGTGCTCTAGGAAGTGAGCAGTGCACGGGAGCCCTTCATCCTGGGGGAATGAGGGTACATGCACGGGGGCGGGCCTGCCCAGAGGGTGCGCCAAGGCGCATCCACCCCCTTCGCCTCTTCCTGCACTAGGACCGTGGACACCTCCCAGAATTGCCTGGAGGAGCTGCTGGGGAGAACATGGTCCTTGAGGCTTCACAGGTCCAGAGGATGGACCAGCCCGCCCACCTGAGCTGGGAGCTGGAGCAGCTGTCAGATGGCAGGCAGCAGCCCCTGGCGCCGGGGAGCCAGCCTGGCTGCGGCTTCTCCCTCACCCAGGGAGCTGAGCCCTGGGCTCTGAATCTCCTGGGTCAGCCCATCCTCAGCCAAGTCAATAGGGTTTTATTCAGGGGCCATTTGGGCTGTTCCATTGCCATTCTCCCCACGGAGAATATGAAGGGTCTGGCAGCCTGGAATCCAGGACATGAACCACAAAGTAAGTGTTGCCAGATTTCTCAGCGCCTGTGTGGACAGTCCCAGGAGCTTCCAGATGACAGCACGCTGACCCCAGAGGCTGCCTTAGATCTGTCCGTGGGGGATTGAAAGCTCTGCATGGCAGGAGCCTTCGCCAGTGCTCACTGACCCCCGTTCTAACAGCAGCCTGGGCTGATTCCCTCCGTTCATCTCATAATCGGGCAGATGGGTGTGGTCTGCTGTCTGTCTCCCTGGGCAGGGGTTGCTAACTGTCTGCTTCTCAGGCCTCTCCCACTCCCTCTCGTGTGTGGGCCCCTCCTAGCACCCAGGTGAGGGTGCCGTTGGCCAGGTGAAGGGGGGTGGGTGGCAGGCCGTGCAGCAGGGAGCCTGGGCCCCCAGCAAACAGGAAGCAGGCCCTGTGCTCAGCACCAGCACGCGGCCTTGGGCTGGGTAGGGAGGGGCTGCTTTTCCAATTCTCATCCACATCCCTCAGCGTCAGGGAGAGGCTGCTGAGAGCAGGTGGCTATTCCTTCTCTTCAAGGGGTCCCATCAGCTCCAAACAAAAGTCAGTTCATTGAACTGGGAATCTGGGTGAGAAGGTAGTCATTTCTGCGGTTGGGTGAACTGGCTCTCCTGGGGCCAGGGGTGGGCAAAATGGGAATCCCTGCTCTGAGAGTTCAGGGTCATGGGGAGCACACTGCCCCCTGGTGGGGTTGGAGAGGCCCCTGATGCGGACACTGGGTGTAGTGTGTGAGTCCTTGCAGGCCAGTGCCCGGGACTTGTTGGTGTTCCCACGCCTGCTGCTTAACTGGCAGCCCAGGAACAAAGTATGGAAGAACTTTTGCGTGGATGGTGTGGTGGGTTCCCGAGTTAAAAAGGCTCAGCTTCCAGTCCTGCTTCCTCCACCTGCTGGCCAGGCGGCCTCTTTTAAACCTGTTTTCTTATCTGCAAAATGAGGGCAATGGAGCTGCCTCACAGGATTGCTATGCACCTCTCGTTAGAGGAGACAGTGAAGTTTTATGCCGGTCAGGCCCACAGGGCACCAGCATAGGATGGCTGTCCTGGCGCCCTGGTCTATTAGAGACATTCATTGCTCTGGCTCTGGGAGTGCTGGTGAGCGTAGCACCCAGGAGAGAACCACTGTTGTTTTCCCGATTAACAGCTGTGTCATCATGAGATCCTGAGGGGCGCTGGCCTTGAGGAAACAGAGGCTGGTCATCAGCTCCCTGCTACCCTGGGGGGTCCCTCACCCTTACTTCCCAGGAGTGCAGCACCTTGGCGGGAGGTACTGAGAGTCAGGAGGTGGCGGGGTGAGTGCAGGTCAGCAAGAACAGGTCAGATGCCACAGAACTGTACCCTGCAAAATGGTGAAAACGGTGAACTG